AGCTTTTTATCATTTGGGTCATGGGAGATTGTGAAAGACCAAATGATAAAGACGAATACAAAAGATATTTGCAGGATTGTCCAAATGTATTAAATGCAGTTTTTTTACACATAAAAATGGACAAAAATAGTAAAAATAATCCTTAATAATGATTCAGATTATTTGAATTATGCACGTTACCGTCATAAAAACTTCTCCTCCGACTGAATTAGTTTTAAAAGTTTACCTACATGTATGTGAAATGTATTTTTTACATGTCTTCCCTCCGCAGGTTTGATTTCTATGCAGATCTTCAGAACAAACTTCAAACTCCTGCCAAGGTTGTTTCTGTCTTCGACAAAGTCCAGATGCAGGGAGACAAAGGAGCGGTGGCGGCAGTCGACTTGCCGTTAGGTGATTTAAAAGTAAAATGTAAACAACTTGGTGACACGTGGACGGATTTTGAACGTTGTGTTTTGCTGCAGGCTCGTTGGACTTTAACAAACTGGAGCTGGATGCGTCTCTGTCGTGTCCCGGCAGGAGAGACTCGTCCTGCGCTCAGTGGGATCACACGGTGCAGCTGTTCGTCTGCTGCGATCACCTCAGTCCGTACTGCAACATGGAGCTGAGCCGATGGATCACTGCCTTCCGCAGGTTCGATGCCGACATAGATGTTGCACTTTGCGATTCAGTAAAGTTTGACTTCACCCCGCTCTTATTCCACACAGGATTAAAAATTACTGTGAATGTGTTTTTCTGGGTAACTGAGCCAGATCCGGTTGTTTTATCTGATATACGTGATATGGTTGTGTTGTTTCGACAGAGGTATCGGTCGCTGGCTCACAGATGTGTCTCCCCTCATCCCACTGCTGGACGGCAACAGATGCACCTTCACCATGAAGACGGTGCCGTGGGCGATGCCTTGGATCGTTTCCCTCAATCTGAGATTCAGCGTCAGCAATCAGACAGGTTGGAATCCTGAGAGTTTGTCATGACAAAGTTAAATTAATTCAAATTCTTTAATCACAGAACATTTAACACATATTCAACACTGAGTTCAGGCTCTTGTACTGAACAATATGATGTAACAGATATAGAAGATGAGCATGTTAAGCTAAAACTGTGCATCTCTGTAATGCTTGTAACTCACTGTGGACACCAACAGTGGAATAAGTCTCCCTCTGTGAGGACAGAGACATTTTACTGAAATAACGACACCTCAGAACATTTTCTGTTACTGGGGGATTTTCCGTAAAAGCAGGAATTTCCCTGAAAGAGGGAACAGAGTGTAAATATTTCCTGGAACTCGTCTGGAACAAGGACACTCAGAAACAAATACATAAAAAAACAAAAAAAACAAATATCCTATTACTTCAAATGAGTCCGTTTTTGTGAGTTTGTTGCTTAAAAATTATTTGTGTTTGTGTAAAACTATTTTATAACTAATGATTATTTTCAGTATTGATTAAAAGGGAGATTATTCCTATTATTAATCAATCAATTAATTTACCTAATGTTGCAATATTTTGTCAAAATAAAATGATTTGAATTAGAAATTAAATTAAAATTAAATCTCAGTATTGTTGTTTCTGGTTAATTAACAAACTCATTTCTTCACCTTTGTCTCTTTGGCGACAAAGGTAACCACACAGAGAAGCTCCGCCCCTTCAGAGTGATGTCACTGTACAGCGGCGGGACCTTCGACAAAGACTACAACAAGAGATTCCAGCCAATCAAATTCCCCGTCCCTCCCTCGGCCATGAAGGTAACAGACCCGTCAGTGACTGTCGAGCGGTGCCTCTCCTCTGCGCAGCGTCTCAGCAGCCGTGTGTCTGTTCTCAGGTGGAGCTCTACGCCGTCATCACGGGTCACGGCAGCGACGAAAACGGCTGCGGAGAATTCTGTGTCACCTCCCACCACTTCTTAATAAACGCCGTGTTCAACAACACTCGCATATTTGACTCTGCAGGTGAGGACACGTCTGATCTCAGCCGCTGTTGTGTAGCTGTCCGTCTCGTCATCTTCGTCCGAGACGTAACTGTCATTAATCTCTCGTTTACTTTTTCATTTCATCTTTGAGTCTCTTGAAGTCAGAAAATAGAGACTTAGAGTTGATGTTTTAAAATTCTGTGTTTTTTAAAGCCAACGGTCTAAAAACATTTATTTTCTATTTACAAACCTGTAAAAGAGACATTTCATCGTTTGGCATCTTTTTTTTTTATTTCTGTCGTGGATCCACCAGGAACAGCTCTGGGCTGCGCCATGCGAGTGAGAGAGGGGGCGGTACCAAATGAACATGGGACGTGGCTGTACGGGCGAGGAGGCTGGTGTGACGGACTCCAGGTCAACCCCTGGAGGACAGATATCACCAAACAGGTCTGTCGTCCCAACACGAGTCCGACTCACCAGGAAGTCATAACTCAAAGTCCGACTGAAGTCTAAGTGAAGGAAGCTCGTTAGAATAATTCGGACCAGAGAGGCTCTTGATGTAATCACGACGTGTTTCTCTTCTGGTCTCAGCCGACATGTGCAGCTCAGGTTGACTGTCTTGAGAGACATTCTCTGGAGTTTGTCTTTCACATGTAAAGAGGCAGCAGGAGATCGTCCAGGTTGGACATTTGCGTTCCCACATGCAGCCCCTCTGGAACCTTTCAGGAAAATGTCCAGACTTCGGTGCATGTTTTAAATAATTATCAGGAGCATTTCTTTACCACACTGTAGTAAATCCTGTCTCTGTCTCTGTCCTCTTTCAGTTGGACTTGAGCGGATCTGAATCCAACACAGTCGTCTACTTCGGTTTGTTCGACGGGCAGGATCCTCATCCCTCTCAGCAACCAGGATACATCATCATGTCGTCTTTTCTCGTCTTCTACAAATGACGCCGCTTCTTACACGTTGTTCTGCTGTAATGATTCTGATACTGAATGTACAATCGAGTCGAAGATTAAATTTCTATTTTCCTACCGCTTCACCGTTGTCTGGTTCATGAACTTACACAGGAGGCAGCGCTGGTGCAAAGTATCTCCCGCCACGCTCGCCCAGCCATTTGCATTTTGCTCAAGATGCCGAGGTCAACAAGAAGACGCCTCGCGGCCGAACAGACGCTCTGTGCTGAAGATGCTTTGTTCTGAGAGCAGCCTCTCGTCACTAATTACACGTAATCAAGTCCAACTTGAAACTTTGAGGTGAAGGAAGCGTTTCTCGGTGACTCATCAGTCTGTTGTGCTAAATTCGACAACATGAGCTCTGCCTCTTTCAGGCCTTTTCTTCTTTTCTTTTATACGGCCCTGTTTTTGTGAGATCGGGGGAACTGCGGAAATAGAAAATGATCAGGAAGTTCAAACTGCTGCAAAACAAAACCACAAAACCTATATTTGCTTTATTTAATTTTCCTTTAATGACATTACACATTATCAAAAAAATTAAGACATTAAGTAAAAAAAAAATACATTATTGAATTATACAAAATGGTTACTCTCCTGAATAGAAATGTTAGTGGTTAAAAAGTTTAGTTTTATTTTACACAACTGCTCAACACATTACATTTTTCACACTATTAATACAAAAAAACCCCTAAAGATTTATCTTTGGCTAATTTTATTGAAAGGAGACGTTCTGCCCATAATTAGGTTCATGATCGTAATCAGTGTTATCACTTGAAAAGGTTTAAATTCTCTAATGTTCAGAAAACATCACTTTCCTTATACTCATCGCTGCAGCTCCTCTCATCAGCCTCTGTCTCGAACACTTGGTTCGAGCTCCTGTCTCTTTAAAGCCAAACTACTCACGAGGTTTTTGTCCCTTTACCATTTAACACTTGGGCCTTTTTAACTTTACAGATATTTTACATACACAGAAAAAAAGCTTTACAACACACTAGTGGAGAGAAAACTGAAATGCATTTGTACCGTTCACTATCACTGATCACTATCTTTGTCGGTGAACTTGGTTAAAGTTCGTTAGTGAACGTGTCGTCGTGTTAGACCTTGACGCAGGTTTCTTTGCAGCTCTTCTCGCTCTCAAACTTGTTGTTGTTTCCTCGACAACCTCCGAACCAGAACTGAGCGCAGGAATTGGCGTTGGCGTCGTAGTACCACCTCACCACGTAGTCTCGGCACGGGCCCGGGTCCAGGACCTGGCTGCACCGCTCCGCTGGAGACGAAGGGAAAAGCGTCAAACTTCAAGTGGCTGATTTATTTTTTCCACATTTCATTCAAATACTTTGACCTTTTGTCTGAACATGCTCACGTCGGAAAATCTTTTTGAGAATGTTGCATTCGAGATTATTGATGTTTATATATATATATATATATATCAGCTCTATTATTTACCTGATACGCCTGTGTCGGAGGTCACCAGCGGGGGAGTCTGTGGTGACGGCAGTGGTATCTTCTCCTCGGGCTTCAGAGTGGGACCGGCGGGCCCGACGGCTCCGTTCGTCTCCACTCGGATTGAGGGGTCCTTCACCTCAAACCGAGGGAGGAGCTCTGTCACTGGTCTGAAAGGCTCCCAGTCGAAGAACGGAAACCTCTGGGCTTCTGTGGGGGTCCTGGCGTCCGGCTTGGGTCTCTGCGGAGAGACGGACTCTCTGTCGAGCTGAGAGCCTGGAGGGCCGGGCTGTAACAGAGGAGAGGGGCTTTTCATCTACTGAACATGAGACAGGAGTTTATCTCCACATGTGGCTGTAGAGGGCGCTGTTCTCCAGTAGAAGTTACACAGTGTTACTTTAAGGTTTAAAAAGTTGCACAGTGTTTTTTCTCCTCACCGCTATCTGAACTCTCCTGGGGTCTCCTGTGAAGGTGGGCGTGTCCGTGTCCGTCCTGTGCGGGGGCTGGCGGACGTTCCCAGATGTCTCAGGGACTCCTGGAGGATGTCCCGAGCTCGGGATGGAGCTGAACAAATGGCTCTCTCTGTCTTCACAGATACGACTCAGCAGTTTCTTTTCAAGAGCTGAAACACCAAGAGAACGTGAAGGTAAATGTACAGATGATGGTAAAATATGAGAGTGAACCAACCCCTGAATCTGTAGAATCATACTGTGTGATCACTGGACTTGTCACCTGTCAGAGTCTTGAATTCATCGATCAGGTACACGTGTTCGCTGTCGGGGTCGGAGGCCATGAGGCTGAGCTCCTTCTTGAACTCCTGGTACAGGGGGTCGCTCTGGTTCACCACCCCGACCACAAACGTCTCGATGTTACTCCCCTGAGCTTCTGCCACGGCCCTCTCCAGCGGGACCGAGTCCCTCTTATCAGCCTGACCGTCTGTGATGACGATGGCCACCTTCCTCACGCCTGCCCGCGCCCCCCTGAACACCTGGTTGGCCTGCTGGATGGCGCTGCCGGTGAAAGTGCCCTCGCCCATGTAGGTCATTGAGCGCACCGCAGACTTGATCTGGTCAGGGGTGGCCACCTGCTCCAGGCTGACCACCACCGTGTTGATGTGGCTGTAGAGGACCACGCCGACTCGCGTGGTGTCTCGGCCGACCGAGGCCCGGTCGATCAGGGCATTCACAAAGTCTTTGATCACGTTGAAGTTGTCGGGGCCGACGCTCTCTGAGCTGTCAATCACAAAGACCAGCTCCAAGGGGGTTTGACGGCAGGTCACTCCACAACCTGCGGACACAGACAGACGCAGTTTATCATCACTCTAAATAACTGAGAATCATTTGAATGTGAGTAAATGTTTAAATTCAATGATTGATGACTTACTGCATATGGATCTCACAATTCTGATGATTTCTTCCCTCTGTGAAAGACATTTTTAGAGCTGGTTCATTACTGATCCATGACTTTTATTATAAGGCTGCAACATATATGAACATTCTCCCAACGGATGAATGAATCCATAATCCCAGAGACTAATGTAAGAGCTTCAAATCTTTTTTCTCCAAACAAGAGTCCAAATTCAACTAATATAAAACCGTCTAAAGAAGTACATTCTAATATTTCACTTTAGTGAGCGATGTCTGTCACTCACTGTAAGTCCAGGCTCTCCCTTCTGTCCCGCTCTGCCCTGTGATGTGAAAGAACCAGTTATTTATGACATATTTTCTGTATATTTCCCAAAATAATAGCAATTTTTTAAAAGTCCAGTACCAAAGGTCCGACGGATCCTGGTTTTCCAGCTTCCCCTCTGTCTCCCCCTTTGCCCTTCTCACCTCGGAGGCCTCGGTCCCCCTGAGGGAGGAAGAGAACAGAAATCATTTGTTTCAAGCAACTAGTGAACTTATGGTTAGAGTCTAAAATAATAATAATATTTATCACTTATTAATATTTTCGTAAAAACTGTTGTTACCTTGCTCCCCTGTAGACCCTGTCCAGGAGGACCTCTGGGGCCGGGGACCCCCTGAAATCCAGGCTCCCCCTGGAAACATCGAGCAGAGAGAACTTATAAAACAAGATGAAACTAATAGAAGGTACATCTCATCCGTCTCGTAGCACACATGTCTGGGTTTTTCAGCCCATACGCTGAAAGCAGAGGACAGGTGACCGCGGTACCTTTTGTCCTTGGATTCCCTCTCCAGTTAACCCCTGTGGACCTGCTTGTCCCATCTGACCAGCTGAACCCTGCAGGACAGAAAACAACTGTTTCTGAAGAAACGTACGATTTCTTTACAGTGTTACATGCATGTCGTTGTTTTAGAGGACTTGTTACCTTAGGACCAATCAGACCGATTCCTGGAGGCCCTGCAGGCCCAGAGGGTCCCGGCAATCCTCTGTCCCCCTGTGCATAAGTTGTTATATGTTTATGATGTTCGTTAATATCTGAAAAATGATCATATCAGAACAGATCGGACAGACGGAACAATCCTGCATGCAAGTGTCGAGTTGTTATTATCGAAATATAAAAGAAAAAAGGAAGTGGTCTGACATAGTTTAACTTCCCTATAGACTGTCAAATAAACACTTCCATGATCATCTCATTACAAAGATGACACATTTAATTATTCTGGTTTTCTTACCTTTGGTCCTGGTAAACCGACGCCCTCTGCTCCGGTCTCTCCCATCAACCCAGGAGGCCCCGGAAGTCCCTGAGACACAGTTTAAAAAAATGACAAGGTGTTGATAATAAGATATAAAGTGATGACGGAGGCTGTACTGTGGGTTGAGACTCACTGGAAGACCGGGGAAGCCGTCACTGTTTAGTCCAGGGGAACCAGCCGGTCCTGGTGTTCCTCTGTCACCCTGCAGATCAAAACACAGCTCTTATTTATTCACTGTCAGGGAATCTGAGGCCCTGTTCACTGAACGAGGTCGGAGACTCACCTTGGGTCCAGTTAAACCGATCCCTGGTTCTCCCACGGCTCCAGCTGGACCCTGTGGACCCGGTTCTCCCTGACAAATCAAATAAAGTCAATGAATTAACCAAACCTTGTTGCTGTCTGTCAGTTGAAGCTGTTTTTGTTTCTGCTCCCCTCACCTTGGCTCCAGGTATCCCTCTCCCTGGAGGTCCAGTTGAACCCGCTCTCCCAGTAAAACCTGGTTCCCCCTGGAAAAGAAGAAGATGAGTGTTTGATTGTCAATTTATTTGTTACATGCATTCAAATATTCCAATGAAAACATTTTCTGTGATGGATAGTGATAATCATCTTTAGTTTTGGGACTGAACTTCTGCAAATCCATTTAAATATTTTTCATCAGCGTCAAGAACAGATTCTCTCCATCTTCTTGATGATTTGCAGTTTTGGTAAATGAAAGAACATGTGGAGCAAATTCATATTGTACGTCTTAAATACTGTATGAAAATTTGCAAACCTTTGGCCCCATCGGTCCCACAGGACCAACTGCACCTGACAGACCTCTGCTCCCCCGCTCCCCTCTGTCTCCCTGCGAAACAAAATCCAAATCATCCTCTGAAATAATAATAATGACTTTCAGATGATTATTATGTGAAAAGTCAGATAATACAAAAATTGGTTTAAAATGTCGGTCACCTTGTCTCCAGGAGCACCTTTACCTGGAGCCCCGTCAGGTCCCCTGGGGCCCGGTAACCCGAGGTCCCCCTGCCATCATTGGAGAATAAGTCAGTGGAGCATCGGACTTGTAAGAAATGTATATATATGCATTTATTTTTGTATTTAAGAGAGAGAAACAGGTTTAATACGGTGACGTTACCTTTTGTCCCGAGGTTCCATCCTCTCCTGGTTGACCTGGTATACCTGCTAACCCCTCAGCCCCCGGGTCACCCTGAGATGATGAAGAACGAAATAATGCTCTGGATGAAAGTTCTCAAAAAGTCGCTCTTATTGAGGGTTGTAGGGGACTTTGAGTGTTTGGGTATTTCCCATAATGACAAACTATTCATTTAAAGTGATGTCCTCTGCAGATAAGTGAACATTGGTGTTCTGATCGCTTACCTTCGGTCCTGGTTGTCCCACTCCTCTCTCGCCCGGCATACCAGGTTCACCCGTGAGTCCCTGAATCCCCTGAAGACAACGTTCACACAGACATGTTCATCCAGTCTTTCTTTTTTTCACTGTGACTGAGACTCTGATTTAAACTCCCTGGCGTTTGATTGACAGACCAGCTGCGTTTCACCCGCGTGTTTATGCGATAAAATATTCAGAGCAATTTGGAGGCAATCAGACATCGAATCATCTGAACGTCAATCACAGTATCTGCTCTCAGATAATAAAATCACCAGTTAATAGACACCACCCTCCTCGCGCATTACCTTAGGTCCTGTTATTCCGATACCTAGAGCTCCTCTGGGTCCTGTGGGTCCAACTGGGCCTTGATCCCCCTGAGAGAAGAAAGATGAAGTTGGATCATTTTGTTCTTTTCTAACTGAGGAGTCTGACGTGTGTTCATCCTCTTGTCACCTTTTCTCCTTGAGGTCCTGAACCAGGAGCACCGAGTGCACCCGGAATCCCAGGAGGTCCCAGGCTGCCCTGAAAACAGATTTTTATTATTTCATAAAAGTATAAAAACAAATACAAATAAACATGAACATGTTGCAGCATCAGAAGATAAAGGCTCCCAAGAGTAAAGCCAAGTCATCTTGATTGCCTCCTGGTGGCTGACTGCAGAACAGGTAAAAAAAACCCCTGCCTCCTCCATGTTAGTGGATAGGACATTGAACAAACTAAACAGCAAAGTGCACATAAGTTTTTTTTTTCACACTGATGCATGTTCATGTTTGCAGTAAGTTTGGTTTCAATGAGTTATTTTAAAAATAAAAATTAGGTGAAACGTCATGACAGCGGAGACTGACTCGTGATTGGTCGATCACTTTATTAGAAACACCACAATAATACTGGTACAACCTCCGTTTGCGCTTTAAACAGCCAGAATCCCGTTGTTTTCTGATATTTGAAGATCATCTGAAGCTGCTGAGCTGTAGCTGCAGGATTGTATGCATCACATTACTACCACATGATTGGCTCCCTGGATGATTACATGAGTTAGCAGGTGTACAAATACTTAATACTTGAGAATATTTACCTTGTCACCTTTGACCCCAACTCCAGGAAGCCCACGAACGCCTCTGGGACCCTGATGTCCTCGATCCCCCTGAAACAAAGACAGTGAACACACGTCTCTGTTCTCAGATCAGTTTCAAGCAGATTTCAAATGTCTCATTTAGACCAGTTATTTGAATTTCTCACTGTTTTGCAGTGAAAACATTATAATGACTTTATTTGAATCAGTCAGCTCTAATTTTCACCTGAAATAAACAAATCCAAATTTACAAAATCCTTTCACCAGCACAGAAAAGTCTGAGATAAAACTTAGGATAAAGGCGTTAAAGGTTGTTGTGTCGTATATTACATCATATCGTATGTCACATAAATGCTTATTTGAGAATTGACATCACAACGTCCGACTCACCTTTGGTCCTGCGAACCCCTCTCCAGGTGGTCCAGGGTTTCCTTGTGCTCCAGATTGTCCTAGAGGACCCTGGGACAAACAGACAACTGTTTTATATCTGCATTTACTGGGTTTTATTTCAAAACACTTCAAGTTGAGTTGAGCTGAGTGAACTTGTTCATGTCCGACAGCCTGATGCCGCCTTTAAATAACCGGTCACACTCACTGGGAGTCCTGGTTCTCCGATCCCGACAGGACCTGTAGGACCCGGTCTTCCATCGTTACCTTTTTCACCCTGTGAGCATCACATATCATTTATCCGCATTAACACTTGACAGTAATTTGGTAATAATCAATTGTATTTATTCAAAGCACCTTGTAGCATTTTTTATCATCTTACTTTCAGAGAAATTACATCAACGTCAAAACATATTCTGTAAAGCTTCAAACGAGCCAATGAGGAAAGATCATGAGTCGTTTTGATTGAAAATATTAGACAGCTGACAAATAATTTGATTTGAGGAAGATAATTTGACTCCAGTGATAATAAAAAATAATAATTGTAATAGTCAAATAAAAGCATCACCTTGGCTCCTGGGAATCCAATACCACGTTCCCCTTGGGCTCCGGGAACTCCCATGAATCCTCTGTCTCCCTGTGACAGATAAACATGTCAAGTATAAAATAGAAAACAAATACGATATTCTTCAGTCATATCTAATCCTCAAAGGGGATAAGAGTCATCAGCAAACTAGAGTTGACAGGAACATAAATATTTTGAACCACATGCCACGCTCCTATTCGTCAGATCTGAGCCACGAGTGAGTCATAGCAATGCCACAAGTCAACCAAAGGTGGCTGAGTTTGTATCGTGTTATTTGGACCATATTCACCATCACATGGGCCAGTTTAGGTTCTCATCCAGTTTACACCCATGTTTGCCAAAAAGAGGCCAAACATTTGTTTTGGGACATTTGGGCCACATTAGATATTTCACATGTGAGCCTCCTCCTACATCCACTTTGTGTGGAGGTGTCACATCTGCATCTGCCGATGACTCTGCCCTCAGAGTGTCTCGATGCAGGCGCATGATATAGAAAATTACACTTTACAGCCACAGTCCCATTCAGCCACATGGTAACACCAGAATCTACAATAAATGTTGACGGCAACATCCAGATTTTAAAATGATAAACTGCAACCTTTTAATGTGCAGACAAAGTAAATTTGAAAACTCAGACTTAATGAAACATTCTGTCGATTTAATCAATGAAGCCAAATGGCAGTTTAGCCTTGTGTCAACCTTTTATGCCATTTGAGAGACAAAGATTGGTGCCTTGTTCTTTATTTAAACTCGCACTTGATTAATGCGCGAACTTTTCCTGACTGTGATATAAATCACATTACATTTCCTCAGCATAAAGGCATCTTTGTTAAGAAGCAGCAGGGCCGCTCTGTGGTGGCAGACACATCTTATTAACCATCTGCACATTTTAAAGGTCGTTTTTATGTTTTGTTAAATTCACAGATGGTTGTGTGGAAAAGGGTTTTAGAATTGGGGGCAACACTGTCTACCCCAGAAACTCCTCCATCGGCACAGTGGTGAGTCGATGATGGGTGAATCTTCATTTGTGGGTGTCATGGTCATAACTGTCCAAAGTGTTAAATGTATGTTGACTTCATCTCAGTGTGATGAGGTTTTGGGCGAGCTACAATTTATGCAGCCAATCCAACTCAATGACATAAAACAGACGTGAAGATCATTAGCATGTGATATTTAAATGCTTGTGGGGCTTTTGAGGAAACTTACTTTAGGTCCCTCTGGTCCCTCAGGACCCGAGTCTCCTGCTGGTCCCACCGAACCCTGCAAAACAAATTTAAACACACGACCAGAGCAGTTCTGAATCTGTTTGATATCTAGGGCCAAAATTTGGTGTTGTATGACTTTGATCAAAACCAACCCACCACAACTGAATGAAAACTACAACATCAACATTCACGTCTTTCATGTTCTTTGATTCTCAGGCTGCGCTCGCACAATATTGAGGTTAAACTGACACTGTGCCAGTGACACAGAGGAGGAAGAGTTGGGCGGCCCAGGTCGCTGCGCTAATCCCACCACACAAAGTCTGTTCCTGCAAAAGAATAATATCCTGCAAGCCTGGATTCACTGCTTCCAATAGCCACATTAGTATCAGGATTACCCATAATCCAATATTCACATTCCATTAGTGCACAGCTGAATAAGAGACAAATTCCACTTCCATTTTTCATATTGGTCCATGAACGGACTTCTCTGATGTGCACATAAGTCGTATCGTTGTGAACAGCAGCAGGCTACACGTTCATGAATGTGAGGGAAGAGGGCTGGAAGTGACCGAAAATAATAACATGAATCAAGTATCTATGGCAGTTAACCCATAAAATGATCATAACAGACGATAACAATCTTAATTTCTTCTGTTCAATATAAGAAAACGACACACAGCCACTCTACCTGTTCTCCCTGTGAGCCTTGTGGGCCTGGAAGTCCCTCGGGTCCCTGGAAGATGAAGCTTATTTTATCAAGAGGTTAAACTCTGTGAACTTTATATATAAATATTTTAGTTATCATACAGTTTCCCCCTTCTCCCCCGGAGTGCCACAGTCTCCTCTCTCGCCCTGAAAGACAACGATAAAACACGTTGAAACACGCAGCAGGTTATTTTCTACGCTTTTTTTTATCAAATGACTTTATTCGAACGTGTTGTCGGAGCGATTCTCACCTTATTGCCCTTGTAACCTGGAAGACCCTGCGGAGGAGGAAACAGTTTTGAAAAGATCTGCTGTAACGTGGAGGCTGCGTCATCATATTCGTGTGAAAGAGAAAAAAAAAGAGTTTCACCTCTGGACCGTCACTTCCAGGTCGGCCGTTCGTTCCAGACTCCCCCTTATTAAAAGACACCAGTTTACAATGAGCTGCAAAAGAATCCAACTCAAAGCATTCTTCTCTTTTTCTGTTTGTTTGCACGATGACTCACCCTCGCTCCTTTTACACCCGGTGGCCCTCTGAGGCCTGGGTCTCCTTTTCTACCCTGGAATTAGAAACTCAAGTTCATGTCCATTCTCGGCTGGAAGCTTTAAGACACGATAGTCGCTGTGTGTGTTCGTTATAAATAAAAACAGCCCAGACGGAATAAGTATCTTCTAATTTGGGAAATGATTATAGTTTTTACCCTTTGTTTTGTGGATTTCTTAAAAACTCACCAGACTTCCAGGAGGACCCCTCTCTCCTCTCTCACACAAACACACATGGGGTTGTGGACACTGACGCAGAGAAATACAAAGTCAGCTCAACAATTCACACTCATGAATTAGCGTTAAAGTAAATGTTGAATTGAATGGACAGACTTACTTCTTCTGATGCGACTGCAGCCTGGAAAAACAAAGAAAAGTCATTAACAGACAGGAGAGATCAATGTCCTTTTTTTTTTTAAATTGGTATTTGTGTTGTCTTTTGACGCAGACACTTCTTCTTTTTTTTTCCAGTGTGAAAGTGCAACGTCACACATTTCTGGAAAGCAGAATTCTGGAAAGGAATTCCAGTCGCACTGACCCTCGGCAGACATTTGACATTTCAGAGATTGTGGAAAATGCAAAGGAGGCAGGAAATCCCCCCAAACCCCGAATCTGGGGCCAGATTGTTTGTGAGTTTTTCAACATTTTCATTGATTCCTCATTTAATAATTAATGGGTCTTGATGAAAAAAAGGCTTATTTAAGAGACTGATAAGTAATTGAGCGCAGGTCCAAATAAAAAACTGGATCTAGTGAATTTAAATGTGGTTTAAAGGGGACTGCACAGTGGCTTGTGTTCTACTGAGTGACATTCTACTCTAGCAGGGTTATGAGCTTTCCATCAGATTTGGATCAAAGTCGGGACATCGACCAAGAAAGAAACCATTGAATCAGTGGGTGGAGGAAAATAATTTGTTGCTGACTTTAGAGAAAAGTAAAAAAGAAGAAATAATGATAATACAGTAAAACAAAAACATCCTGTCCCTCAAATCAAAGAACAGCCATCTTCACTCGAGGCCTTTGCTCACCATCTCCTTCAGCAGCGTCTCCTCCAGCTGAGCATCAAGAAGACTCTGGACAAACTGCTGGGCCGGTGAGCTGGCAACGGCCCGGAGCTTGGCGTTGTTCTGACTCTGCTGGCCGATGTCCGATAACCCCACAGCGAAGATCTTTAGGTCGTGACCTTTGGCCTCTGCCGCAGCTGCGATCACATCAGGGTTGCGGGGATGGTCAACCCCGTCCGTCATCAGCACGGCGACCCTGACGCTGTGTGCCGGCGTCTCCTGCACCAGCAGCTGCGAGGCGTTGGTGATGGCGTAGGTGGTGTAGGTGCCGTGGCCGATGTAGTTCATGGCGCTGACCTGACCGTGGAAAGAATCCAGGTCTTTCCAGGCGGAGAACGGCTGCTCGATGGACACGGAGCTGCTGTACTGGAGCACGGCCATTCGCACCTTCAGCGTCCAGCCTGCCACCTGCAGCATGGAGAGCCGGGTGCTGAAGCCCAGGACGAAGGCCTTCTGCTTCTCGAACAGGAGGGTTTTTGCGCTCTCAGAACTGTCCAGGATGAAGGCCACCTCCAGGGAACATGGACCTGAGGGAGGAGGACACCGGCAGATCTTCAGTCAGACTCTCAGAGTCACAATACTGTGAAGAAAGACACGAGTATCTGGAGAAACGTCTTCTACTGAGTTTCTACCAACGTTTTTTGTCTTTCATTTTCTGATTTACAGAAAGTCGAACGACCATGACTATTGAATATATTTGAGTTTTGTTGTTACCTTGAACTCTAGAGAGAGTGTTGGACATTTTGTACTAATATGTGTTCGTTGACTGATTGATTCTATTTGTCTAATGAACAACGTGAATAATCATTATTTCATATTTTGATAATAACACTGGAGGTGGCCAACAGTTTTCCAAATCCCAAATGCAAACAAACTTTAATTGAACTCATTCTTTTCACTCTGATGGCCACAAAATAACTTTAATTATTCCAGAAAACAGTTGTTTCCCGCTTTAATTTCACTGTGAACTTTCATCTGAACCATTCCAGGCAACAGATCCGTACCTGAGCTTTTCACTGTGAGGTTTCTTCTCCCTCTAAAGTTCTGAGAAGAAGCCAGAACGTATAAGAAACACAAACAAGTCCAACTTGTACAACTTCTGGTTGTATGGTGAGCGTCTGATCCTCCCACCTGGAGTCAGTTACACCCACAGGATCCAATGACCCCCCCCCCCCCCCCCCCCAACACATTTATAAAGAATCACCGTCTCCTCCGCCATCATCGTGCAGCCTGTAGTTGCTCCTGCGTCCTGACTTTGGTCTCTGGCTCGTGGCCTCGTGTACGAGAGACAGCAGCAGGAGGCAAAGCCCCGCTCCTCTCCTCAGGTTTCCCCTCAGCAACATTTCCAGTTCTAGCAAACAAAGATTTAACAGTTTTACTTCATGTGCTGCTCTCACATCCTATGAACCACACCCAGACTGCACTTTCATAATGACAGCACTTTAATTTACTCAAATAATGGTAATGCTCCTGAGTTATAATGTATTTGATTAAAAAAAACAAACTGTAATATTTGGCTGGCAGGATAAAATAACCCACGGAAATACTAATGAGCAAGTTTTTAAAAACCTGCAAACTTTGTGTACAAGCATCTGTAGATGTAAAGAACATTCGTAATGACTTGTCTAAGCTGTTGTGCACAGATCACAGTTGTTATTCGAGCACCACAGATGAATAAATGAAGAGTACACACTGTACAGAGAATGCAAAAGTCTTTCACCTCATTTAGCTGAAGTCAGTGTCTGTGGTCCGGTCGGCTGCTGCTCTGTTGGAGACATTTCCCCCAGAATCAGGTCCCTTTGCTCCGGACTCAGATGAAGTGAGGACCCTCAGACGAGCTGATGTGCTGTGTGTGTGCAGCCGGAGGCTCTGGGGCCGCTCCAAAATTTCTGTGCTGCTCCAGCTCAGAGCTTGATGAATGGCCGAAAGGATTTTATTGTCTCTCTGCTGTTCACAGACAGTGCACAGATCCTGAGGGGAGATCACTGGCCTGGTGTCAGTAAATCACAGCAGCTAAAAGCTGAAATATAAAAAAAATCATAAAATAAAGGAATATGAAAGGAGCATCAAAGTCTCATGAGCAGATGACCTGTCTCCCTTTGTGCACAGGTTTAAGGGTTAACACAGTTTTCACTCCACCTCCCTGTTGGTGTGTTTTGTGCTGCGGCTCATGGAAACAGTTCTGGATCTTGAGCGTAAAAGTCCCAAATGAGACTATTTTAATGTTCCACTCTCGCCCACTAATGTGAAAACCAGATGAGCTGTAGAGGGATTCCCACGTAAAGTACACACATGTACTGCACACACACACACACACACACACACTGACCTTATTTCAAGTTGTAGTAACAGCAGCGTGAGTAGTGAATAGAAGCTCAGATTCACAGAGTCAGTGACGTCTTCTAAAACAAGTCCTTCTTATAAACCTCTCATATTAAACCCAGCACGCCGTTTTTACTATCTATACACAAACTGTTTTATTATTTTTACTTTCATTTTTTAAATGATGTATTTTAACATTTTAGTTCTTTATTCCCGGGTCTTATTTTTTCCATAGTCCTGAAATATTTTGATCCTATTTTGGTGTAACATTTTTTATGTAACATGGTTTAAGTGAAGTGTAAAGACATGTCAATTCAATATATATATATATACATAAACACTTGAAATATTAAATACAATATAGAATAAAAACCTACATATATATATATATATTCTATTCTATTCTATTTGTTATTCTATTTTACTGATATAATGTAAAGTAATGTAAAGTAATATAATATAATATAATATAATATAATATAATATAATATAATATAATATTATATAATATAATATAATATAATATTATATAATATCGTCTGTGGTTAGTGGCGCCATCTGGTGGTAAACTGCCTGCAAAGCACCACCGGAACTCTGAGCAGCGGACTCCTGCGACCGCCCGGACGTGTTTTGGTGTAACACACAACAGCAGCCTGTCTGTAAGTTGTCGGACATGTGTGAGTCAGGTGGAAACTCGTCTGTGTCTCAGTGTGTGTGTGTGTGTGTGAGTAACAAACCGCCTCCATGTTGTGAAGAACCGTGGACCCTCGCAGCTGCTAGCTTAGCCACAGTTAGCTAAACTCTCCCGTTCTGTCCCGTCCTCTGATGTTTAGCATTAGCTTCGGTGAGCTAGCATGTCAACAAACTTTCACCTGCACTTTGAGTTTGCGGATTGACGGAAACGACTCGTCTCTGGATCGACGCGATTGTTTATTTAATCCCGTTCCTGCTCCTTCATCCACAGAAACGTCCAGATTTTATCTCGACAGTTTGAGAAGCTTCTTCACTTTGACCTGTTTATATCATTTCTGAGGCTGTGTCATGTCCACCCTGCTGCTGTTGCTGTAAAGTGACCACACAGGTAAACGCTCTTCTCCTTCAAGAGTTAAAACAGATGTTATATGTACACATGGAGCTCGTTCACAGCCTGAGTGAACAGACAGAAGACTCCAACTGTTTAATGTGTTTTAAAATACTTTGACATCGAGGTGTAGATAAATCATTCACGTGCTTTTAGAATAACTGGAAATGTGAGTCTCCTACTGGGAAAGATAATATCAATAATTATTTCAATATGATTGTCATCGATAATACATCGTGTGTTAGCACAGTGAGTAGGTAAAATACTTAGATTTAACACTTTAGATTTCTAAAAGTGTTTAAAGAAGAGTTTAAAACCACGACCTTCACTCAGAAGTAAATAAAAAAAATCATTTTTAAATTTAAGTGAAATGATAATGTGAGATTTATCATGAAATTTATCGATACCGCCCAGCGACGTGTCGTGAACGTCATCTCAACTCAGAAAACAATCGGGTCAAAATATCAGCTTCTGATGTTAAACTTTTGTCATTTGCAAACTTTAAATTATCTCTCACTTTTTAGCAAATACAGGTGAATTTGTATGTTTAAAATTATTTTAAAAATGTGTCAAGGTATTTTTTCTAAACACATAAATACAACACACATTTTGTTTTCAGTGTCTTTGTTCATTTCACATTCTGACTTCAAAGCACGTGAAAACACTCAAATCAGAACAACAACTTCACAACTCTGGAGATCGGACCTTCTGAGGAGCACGTGAATGCACAGAGAATCCAAAAATCTAATTCAGAAGTAGTTTAAACCATTTATACACTTAAATATAGACGTTATGAATGAAAACTAGTCAAAAAAAAGCAGTTTATATATCTATATATCACATTTCTTTGGTGTTAATCAGTGTGTTTAAGTGTCAATCTGCTCTAATTCCAGGTTGCAGAAGTCAGATTCCTGTGAGATCCTTCTAGCTGCTTCTGAACCATGAGCGGCTCAAAGCCCGACATCCTGTGGTCTCCTCACCACCCTGACCGCTATGTCATCTGTGACTCCGAGCTGGGACTCTATCGTATTGGACCTGTGGGCAGCGCAGAAACCAAGGCGGGCACGCTCCCTCTTTCCCAGGAAACTGCCGCTACTTTACTTGCCATTAACTCTGACACCCCGTACATGAAATGTGTGGCCTGGTACCCGAAACATGAGCCAGAGTGTTTACTCGCTGTCGGCCAAGCCAACGGCAGAGTGGTGCTCACCAGCTTGGGCCAGAGCCACAACTCCACATGTAAAGAGCTTGTGGGGAAAGAGTTTGTTCCCAAGCACGCCCGCCAGTGTAACACGTTAGCCTGGAACCCTGTGGACAGCAACTTGCTGGCTGCTGGTCTGGACAAGCACAGAGCAGACTTCTCTGTTCTCATATGGGACATCAGCAGTAAGTTTTCCCCGGAGGCCAGTGTAGCAGCTGAGAAGATCCGTCTCTCGTCTGTGGATTTGGACTCAAGCTCAGTCGTGACCAAACCCCTCTATGAGCTGGGCCAGAACGATGCTTGCCTCTCCCTCTGCTGGCTGCTCCGTGACCCCAAGCTGCTGTTGGCTGGCATGCATCGAAACCTTGCAATATTTGACCTGAGGAACACCAGCCAGAAAACTTTTGTCAATACCAAGGCCATCCAGGGGGTGACGGTGGATCCTCACTTCCATGATCGTGTGGCCTCCTTCTTTGAGGGCCAGGTGGCGATCTGGGATCTGAGGAAGTTTGAGAAGCCTGTGCTCACGCTCACTGAGCAGCCGAAACCCCTCACTAAGGTAAAATATATTTGTGTTTTGAATCTATTTTGGATAATATACTGGTAAATTACATTTTGTTGACAGAAAGCTGGTCGTTAATTCCATTCTGACATTTTCAGGTGGCTTGGTGTCCAACTCGAACCGGCCTCCTGGCCACGCTCACACGTGACAGCAACATCATCCGCCTGTACGACATGCAACACACTCCCACCCCCATCGGCGATGAGACGGAGCCCACCATCATCGAGCGAAGCGTGCAGCCTTGTGAAAGCCAGATCGGCAGCTTCGCTTGGCACCCGTCCTCCCAGAACCGCATGGTGGTGGTGTCGGCAGCCAACCGGGTCATGACCGACTTCACCGTGTTTGAGCGCATCTCACTGGCTTGGAGCTCCACCACCTCGCTCATGTGGGCGTGCGGCAGACACCTGTACGACTGTGTCGAGGATGGAGTTGACGGAGTGGAGAGCGTGATTGAGAAAGACATTGCCACCAAGATGAGGCAGAGGGCTCAGTCCAGGTACGGACACGATACGGTGCAGGTGTGGAGGAATCACCTGATGGCCGGAGGGAACGACCCCCAGCTGAAGTCTTTGTGGTACGACCTGTTCTATATCCTTCACGACCATGAAGTGGTGGAAAAGACTGCTTAGCAAAGCAGTAACTCAATGAATGATACAAACTTATACTAATGACCAGACACTCGTTGTGATGGTTTTGCTTTACTTTAATAAGATGATAAATTATTCTAAATCACTCTCATAAATCTTTATTTATCCTGGAAAAGAAATGTTGAAATCTTCTATAAACAGCACCAGATATTATTTAAAAACTCTCATACTCAAACTCTCGTGCTTGATCCGCCGCCATTATTCCTTAATTCATAAGCATCACATATGAAGCAGTGTGCAGAGGACATGGAGCTGAAACTGCAGGGGAACAAACAGTCGGTTGTTTACTCTGGTATCAAGAACATCGTCAAGACCAGCTCAGGTAAGAAAGTGACGCACTGAGAGTTGGAGAAAACTGTATTTGTGAAGAAGAACCAGATCTTGTTTGAATAATAATTTGAAAACTTTATGTGTTGTCCTGCATTAACGTTCAAGGCAAAGTTTCATGTGCTGTTTGTGTTTCCAGGCACAACAGAGAGCCGCAAGTGCTGGAGCGGCTCGGACCGTCAGACGGACGTGCCGCGCTACCACAGCGAGGAGCGCTGCCTGGCCCTGCGGCTCTGCGGGTGGATCAGCCGCGGCCCCGAAATCGACGTGGAGACCTTCCTGAGAACGCTGGAGCAGGAACGTGAGTGGGAGCGAGCAGCAGCCGTCGCTCTGTTCAACCTGGACATCCGCCGCGCCATCCAGATCCTCAACAAGGGAGCCACCGCTGAGAGGGGTGAGTGAGCAGGCAGACAGGAAGCAGGTGTGTCTTTGAAGCCAAGTGTTGACAGGAAAGAGGATTCATGAATAACATGAATTTCAATATTTCTGACCAACTGTCAATAAATATATATATATAAATATCTGCTTCGTCTCACATGTTCTGCTTTATTTTCCTAAATCAAATTGCTTTGTGGTGGAAAATTAAACAGAAGCAGAAAAAATTCCAACCGATTAAATAATCACAAACTTTGAAATCGTCTATTTTCCTCTGTGGCTGACTCCCCCATTGTTCTACAACGTCACAGTGATCTGCCTCCCTGTTGGTGTGGTTTATGATTTCACGCTGCTTCAAGGGGAAATTAAATAGGAAATATTTATAGCTCATGTCAATTCACGGTTCCTGCAGACGTCTGTGGAAATGTATGAAAGACCATTCTCATCATTTTAGGTCATCAAGTTCATTAGACGCTCAGAAATATG